AGCAAAGTCATCGGTATTTACGGTGGCTTCTATTTGTTTTACATACCCAAGAAAAACGGAGGTAGATCATGGGGGGGGGCTGACCATATATTTTTATCCGAAGCCATACCGTGAATCGACTGTACGTCAACTTCAAGACACGGCGTTGGCGCAGCACAAAGGAGGCTTACCCTCTGAAGACGCATTCTTTTTTGCAAACTTGCATTATAGATGAAATTATCCTGTACCGGGGTTTCTTCACAAGATATTCTGCCAAGCGTCTCTTCCCACACAATCTTCTTTGTGTGGTGTAGTCATGTTTGCCGGGGCTTCCCAACTCGCTTCTTGCCGTAATTAATTCTACCGGCACTGCTGGGCATAAATGATACCTGCCTTAAAGGATCTGAATTTGCATGTATATACATATATATGTATATACATACATATATATATATATTGTATTCATGTATGTGCTTATATATATATATACACACACTTATATTTATACATTTGTATAGAAGGCGCATCTGTGCTGGGAGACCACCCCGTCCTTGCCGCCAGCGCTGAGGCTCCGAAGGCCAGCTGCGCCATTGGCTCAGTCAGCCTTGCGCGCGGTGCGACATGGAACGCGAATGCGGCCTGCAGCCCGTTGGCCCAGCGGTAGCGACAATTCCCAGGATTCTGACGGATTCTGCGCCCAGGCCAGGACGGTGAAGGCCGCAGTCAGCGCAGCATTCAAGCATGCCAGGTCACTTCTGCTGAGCTCCTGCTCCTTCAACTTCCGCGAAAACACCCAGACCCAGAAGGGAGCGGTGACGCGATTTGCGCGTCCTCCAGCGCTGTCAGGCTCCGCAAGAACGCCTCGCCAGCCTGCGACAGAGAGGCCCAAAGCCGGTCACACCGCAAAGCTCTCTGACTCCAGCGCGGTACAGTAGCGCTTCTCTCGCCTCTCGCCTCTCCCTTCGCTCACAGCTCCCTCTCTCCCTCTCCCTCTCTCCCTCTCACTCCCTCCGACTCTCCTCACTTCGCTCCGCTCCTCTGCGAAGCGCTCTTCGCTCAGCAGCGCCGCAACTCCGAGGATCTGCTCGCCGAGGCTCCCAGGCTGGAAGACCTCCCGGAGATGCGCGGAGGCGCGGATGCGACGCTCCGCCTCCGCCTCCGCCTCCTCAGCCAGTGCTGGCTTCGACTTCCGCAGTCCCATGGAACGAGGCCCAAGCAGCCGCGCTCAGGCTGAGCGGGGTCAAAGGTGCCCATCAAGGGCTGCGCCATGCGGCTGAATTCAACCGTTCATCCGGTGATGCGGCTTCATTAGCGTCAATGCGTGGGGGGCCTGCCAGAATCAGTAGAGTCAGTGTTTCGATAGTTAAGAGGTGACTGCAAGTGAGTGGAGGTCGGGAAATTTGCAACAGAACAGGCTTCTGCACTGTTGGGATGATCGACAATGGGAGACGGTGTCTTGGACCAGTACAGCCAATCGGCTCGGACATCAGTGCACGTTCTGCTTATGCTCTCCGCGTCCGCTGGCAGAAACACTTTCAGAGCTCGGACCTCTGCCGGCCACCGCTCTGGCCCCTCCAAGAACTCCTGCAGAGCACAAGGACCGCGAACCACCACGCCCGCCGCAACCGCCGCAACACGCCGCCTTCAGGAGGACGCAGTCTTGCACTTGAGCCCTGGCCTGGCTCGAGCAGAGAAACCCTAATTAGCCCTCTTCAGACCCAAAGCTTAAAGCGGGCATAGCGGAGCGCTCCGCGGGGCCCGCCTCGATGCGTACAGGATGTGGGCCGGGGCAGCAGGAGTTCTGGAAGGCCTGAGAAGGAAAGAGTGAAAGAGTCCCGCGACGCACCTCCGCCGTTCTCACCCTTCGGCAACGATTGTTGAAGGTGTCGCCACGGCGCCGGACCTGCAGCGCGGCGCGCAAAGCGCAGCACGGCACAGATGTGACCCATGACAAACGTCGCCTTCCTTTCACCGCATTCTTTGCCCTCCTGCGTGTCATTTGCCAAATATAAGAAGCCGGCACGGTCGCACGCTGCCCCGACCCACAAGTTCAGCGCTGGGCATTCTTTCCCACCAGGCGGTGAAAGGGACCGTCCCAAGCATGCGCTTGGAATCTCAGCGGCTTGCTCTGACGGCTCGGTAACTTGCTGACTTGCTGGCCTTCCAGAACGGAGCGGTCGCAGCACCACCCGACCAGCGAAACCCAGGAAGCGCAGCCTTAAAGACAACACGATGGTGCAAGCAGGTGTTCGTCCTGGGCCACTGGGGTGCCTACAGCGTGCTGTCTCGTCGCGGCGCCTGCTACCGAATTTCAAGGCGAGCCTCCCCTGAATCTTAGATAATTGAAGTGAAGCGCTGCGGCAATCCCTGCCTCCCCGTGAGTTGCATGTTACTGCGCATTGAATTTCTCGGGAGGTCATTGAGTCATGTGTGTTCTGCAGATCCGTCTTGTCTGCCCCGCTCAAGGCCGCTTTAAAGGACTCGGCGAGCAGTGACTGAAAGCGCTGCAGAAATCAGAAACCTGAGTCCACAAGGGTTTTTGTTGGGACTTGTGGCCTGGTGGCGCCTGCGAAGGTCCTTCGCTTCCGTGTTGGCGATCGCCATTGAACATGGCCCGTTTGGCCCATGAAGCGGCCCTGCTTTGAACATCCGTTCGCACGGATGTCCTGTACTCCCTCGCCGAGCCGTGTGTGCGAGCCGTGTCCGTGTTAGACGGCCTTCCGTGGGCCGCCAGGGGCCGCTTGTTCGCCGACGCCGCCAAGCGCCTTTGCCTCGTTTTGGCGCTCGAGTTGCTATTTTTTCAGTCTCGGGGCCAATGCACGCCTGCAGGCGTGAACCTTAAGCTTTCCTTCCTCCGCGAACGCGCGAACGGGGATGAGTGGGCATGTGCGTTGCACGACAGCTCAATACGAAATCCTTTCTTGTGTCGAAAGTCCAGGCTACTGCCGGTTTGCGGCTTCCAGCATCTCCACATACCGTTTTTGCACCTGAGTATGGAAACTTAAACCCCCACTAGTCGGGCTCGGGCTCGGCTGAGGGCACCCCCACCGCCGATGGGAATCGTCCACGATGTAGGCCATGGGCCACAGCATGAGAGAATCAGCATAATAATGCATGCGGACAGCGAGTCGACACGGGATCCTCTGCTGCCACCTACAGCATCAGCAACCTACACGATGGAGACATGCCGGTTCCACAGGTGCACTGCACACCGCCACTGACATCACACGAACTGATCGAATCAAAGCCACCATGCCATGCTGCGCCGTGCCGCCTCGTTGAATTCTGGGAAACGGATGCCCAGCACATTGGCATCCTCGCTGGCACCATGCACCAGACCATGCAGTGTGGGCTGTAGTGCACTCCCGAGACTTGCCGACACATGCGGCCTGAAATGTGTGGTCTGCTGGCAACGACCTGAACTGCAAAGGAGCCTGGGACCTTGTTGTCAGAATTCAGAATGGTACACAAAGGCTCCCGGCGGCCAGCCGTGAGCCCGCAGTACCAGGTTGCACAAAACGTGGAACTGACAAGAACACACAGAAGTACAGGTCTTGCAGTGCGAGATCTCGAGAGCCTCCCAGGCATGTCGCTCGGGAAAATAGAACGTCTGACACCTCAGAAATCAGAACCACTCTCAGGCTTACTGGCCTAGGTTTGGCTAGAAGACCGCAACGCTCTTTTTGGCTTCTGGCGCACAAAACAGTTTCAAGCCAGTCAACTCCTGCAAAGGATGAGAACAAGCTGCACGCCAGTTTGAGGCCATGCCCAGACATAGGCAGTCGGGATCTGTCGGGCAGCTTCCATCTCGTTTGGGGGCGGCTTGACAGCTGCATGGGTTTTTTGGGTGCGAGCAGTGAGGTACAGCGCATTTCTGTCGCGTGGCTACAGATGCTACAGTTACTGAAGCTTCCCCGCCCATGAAGTTTCGAAACCCAGCTTCTTGCCTATCTCTTGGCACTTTAACGAAATTGCTCTCGTCTGAGGCCTGGTATCCTGCTTTGTGTGGCGACACGGCTCACATCCTGTGATACCCCGTTCAGTGATTCAGGTCTGCATCCAAGCATGCAGCACTGTGTCATTGATGTGCCGCTGCAGAAACCTGAGGCTCCTACTGATACAGATCGGCTTGCGCATAGAGCCTCAAGAATATACGGTAACATACGGAAGGTTCAACGTTGCAGCATATATAGGGGCGCTGCAACCTGCGCCGGACCAGGCAGCTGCGAGCATGGCGGCAGATCAACTCCGCTGCCTCCGGTGTAAGAAGCTGTAAGCTCTGGCACTCGGTTGTTGCGGAGATCTCCAAAAAAGGCCTGGCCTTCCGCTCCCTGCGCTGCAGACTCCGCTGCAGTCTGCGCAGACCGACTCCAGACCGCGCACGCACTCTCAGCGTAGTGCTGAGACACCGACATCCATCTCCGAACGCGAGCCTGCACCAAAAACTTGGATTCAGACAACGCCGAAGCAGACTGAACAGCGCAGGGTTCATCACTGTTGTCAGCGCGCTGCTGTAACGGTGCTCAGACGGCTTTGCCGACAGGCGGTCCCTGCTTCGACATACTGCCTTCAGGCAGTTCTCCACACGGATGTTGCAAACAATTAAGAGAGCCTCCTGCTACGATCATTCCTCCTCCAAGACTCCTTCCAAGACGCTGAGATCTTGCAGCACCTTTGGCATCTCGCAAGATCGGCTAAGCGTCTTTTGCACCTCGTTTAAAAGGAAGCGCTTGAGGATCTGTTCCTGGAGAGGCACACAGATCGTACTGTCTTCTCTGAAGTGTGCTCGCTCCAAGTCCTCGTGCTTGCCACGGCAGATGATGTCCTCTTCGTTGCAGCCACCGGCACCCAACAAGGCCATAAAGGTGCTATCCGTCCGAAGCCGGACGGAGACCTGGGAAACGCAAACCCTGCCTGCGCCGAGCTCCGCTGAGCGCAACCGAGCTCGCTGCATGCTGGAGCACCTCGCTTCCAGCAACCCGCACAGCGCTCAAGACGAAGGTCCTGCCGCAGAGCGCAGAGCAGAGCCACTTCAGAGACACTCGTCTCACTCGCATACGCGGTTAGCAAGGGACTTCTGCTGAGATGACGTGGGGCCTGTGAAACACTGCAGTACCGAAGAATCCACTTTCCGCGTCACGTTCCGTACATGTCCACCGAACGCTTTTCCTGACATAATCAGGCAATGTGTCGGTCCCCGTCCTGTTGGATCGAAGTCGACGTGAAGCCCACCTGCACAGCTGGACAACCTAACCTATTCGCGCACATGGCATCTGCAAAGACGGGAACGGCTACCTGAAAATGGCAGACACACGAATTCCCATGCAAGCGGTTTGTGGCATGGTGGGTGGGTGTGTCCTTCGGTCTCCAAACCAAACCTAATTGAGGGGTCCAGCCCCTCAGGCCTTGCAGACTGGTCCAAATCAAGCTTTGGGTATTGATGGTAGCAAAATGAAACGAAGTGTCAATGCGAAATTGCCGGCCGTACGGTGGCTACCAGTGCAAGCCACGAACTTGGAAAGGCAGGATGCTGCTGTGCTGCATGGCTGCTCGGGGGGAGAAGATTTGCAGCGGAGTGCGGCTGTGGAAACCCCCGGAAGAAGATATTCAGCCGATACGTAGGATTGGTTTCTGATGGGCCGCTCATGCCCGCAGCACCCCTGCGTAGGACCGTAGAGGCTCAGGACCTGTGGAGGGAGGAAAAAAGGCGCCGATGATATCTCAGAGCCATCGCCAGGCTGGGAGCGGACGTGAAAAAGTCATCGCAGGCCGATACGAGTGCCAGGATACAAATACTACCGTACACTGTACCGCCTGCCTAAGCAGTTCATGTGCATGGCCCGTCCAAAGCACTATGTCTTCACCTGGACACATTTATAGAGCAAACCAAGACTGTTCACAAAAACGAAGACGTACCTAATAGGACCAAAATATCGGGAAACAAGCAACCTATCTCTCATTCAAAAAGGAAAACCAAAGGAAAAGACAAAGACAATTCCCTGGGAACACCAGACCAAACAAGAACGGGGAGGAAACTCAGGACAGGGAGCACAACAAGTGTTTTGGCATCATTTCCTGCAGAAAGCAACCACAAAGCACCCGCCACTTGGCCTGGATCACCACTTTCTTTCTTTCCTTCCTTCCCCTCCCTGACCCTTTCCTTTAAACCAGTCTCGTACCGATTCTTCCGTGTGACCAAGCTGAAGTAATTCGCGATGAAGCGACACATCGTCCTGATTTGATTACCGACTCAGGCCATTGCCCGTTCCTTTGGCACACCAGCCCTTTCACTGAGGTAGACTCCAACGCACCCCGCGCTTCGAGGCCTTCGACATTCGAGAGCTGACACCGGGGTAGCTTGAAGTGTTGACGTGTTGACTTGACCGGATCTCCCAAACCCTGTTCCGCCAGTGGCACACGAAGAGGCCTGTCCGCAAAGCGTCCCCACCTCCATGTCAGTAGCCCCTGAGGACAACGCGACAGCTCCTTTCCCAACTTGCCGGCGTGCAACCCTGTGGGGAAAGTCGGCCAGGCCTGCATACTTATTATGAGCAGTCATAGCTGCAAGAGATAAGGCAAGGCTGCTGTGCGAAAGCTTCCAACGCTCCCATTGCCGGGCCACACCCCATTAGATCAACCGTGGACGAGCCTGATTCCATGGCCATTCTGTTGCACCGCTGTCATCACCACCTCGATTTAAAGGTTATACGTAGCAGATCCTAGTCCGAGCGACCAGCACAAGCCCGCCTCTTCGTCATCGCGGAGCTCCTTGCTGGCGAGTTCCAGGGCCATTCCGTCCAAGCGAACAGCCTCCGACAGCACAGCACACAACGGGATCACGTGTTCAGCATGTGTAAAAACCGCTACATCCTCAGCTAGAGTGCTACAGACCTACAGATGTGACGGAGTTGGGGGAAGGCAGGCTCCAGGTCCGTCGGCGCCTCGAGCACCAGCTCGCGGTCGCTGTTGAAGGCTGGAGGCACGGCTGCCCCGTTCAGGACGGCTGCCTGCAACACCTCGGATCGGAGGAGAGCGTGCTGCAAAGGGCACAGCAGCGCCAGCGCGTTTTGTGCACTGGCTGTGGCCTCCCGATCCTGGCGCAGCTCCTCGGAGGCAGACTCCAGCGCTCCGCCGGACCTGCGAGCGCGCTTCGACCGAAGCTTCAAGCCGCCCGGGCCGGCCATGCCGGGCCTGCTGACCGCCATCATCACCAGCTCCTTGTCTGCACGAGCTTCCTCGGAGAAAGCCGCCTGAGACAGAAAATGGGACGGGTCACCGGCGCTGCGCGAAAAGATCCCGGCCAAGGCATCACCGCGCTGGCCCAGGACCTCCGTGCAAAAAGGCGCAAGTTTTCCGAAAGACACTCTCGGGACTCCAGGCCTCCAGCAGGAAGTCTCGGTCGGCGCGCACTTCGCCTACCCTGCTGAGCATCACCGGGTGGAGAGCCACTGCGCCGACGAGAAATGCCCGGTCAGTGGCCAGCGGACCCTGCGGAAGCGGCAAGCCAAGGGAAGCGGCAAGCGAAGCGGCAAGCGAAGCGGCGAAGAAGTGGAAGGCCGGGAGCAAAAACTGTGGAGCAAAGAGAAGTTCTCAAGGACTCGGTTGCCTCCAAAGCTGCCACCAGAGCCCCGGGGCTGTTTCTCCCAAGCTCCAGCACCCAAGCGCCGTCCCTTCGCAGCTCTTCTGACGCATAGAGAAGGGCCTCAGTACTGGCACAACAGAAGCTGAAGAGAGTTGGAGACTCTGAAAAAACTCTGGAGATCTCACATTGCCGCCTCGCGGCCGCACCAGATTGGCGGACCGCGGCCTGCACCAAAGTCCGGTCCTTCCGGAGCTGCTCCGAAGCGAACTGCAAAGCCTCCCCGCGGTGGCAGACGGCCTGAGCCAAGCCAAAGAACTGCAGAGGTTTGCAAACCTCTCCTATGTGGCCTTCGACAACACCTGCAGACAGCCCTATCCGCGAAGTCTCGCTGCAAATGGATTCATCTTCTCCCTCTCGGAGCGTCGGAAGCCTCCAAGACGACGAGGAAGTCGTCCCGGATGACGTCGGGTGCTTCCTCCAAGGCCGCAGGACGCGCGCCCACGCCTTGGCACGGCTGTCACTTCGTGCACTGCGGTTTCTTCCAAGTCTTCGCACGCCGCAATCGGCGGAGCACTTTTTTTTTT